GGCTCTGTTGCCAGGGAGAAGGGCCCTAAGGGGAGGGCGAGGTCGCCGGCTGGGTCATTACGCGTCACTTCCGGGGTGGCTTGAGGACGCGACGGAAGCGGCGAACGCGCTTGGTCACGGACTGCTATTGTGAGGGGCGCCGCGCTGCCAGCGACAAGCCAACCGCCGCTGCACCGAGCCGGCCACGCCACGCCGGCACCATGATCACTTCCGCCGGTGAGTCTAACTCTGAAGCCAGCCGGAACTCCTTTCCTGTGCGTTCCTGCCCCACCTGGGGAATTCCTAGAGGCTCGAGGGCGGGGCCTGTGGAGGGACGATTACCTTCAAACTAAGACCCCCCCCCCAGTTTGTCCTCTCGGTCCTCCGGGGTTAGGTTTGTCAGTTTGGTGTCGTGGTTAAGTGCGCGGACTCTAATCTGGGAGAACCGGGGTTGAATTCCCCCACTCGTCCTCCACATGCAGCCGCTGGTTGGACCTTGGGTCAGTCACAGGTTCTCTTGGAGCTGTTCTATCAAGGGCAGTTCTCGCGAGAGCTCCCTCAAGCCCCACCCGCCTCACAGGGTGTCTGTTGTGGGGAGGGGAAGGGAAAAGAGTTTGTAAGTCGCTCTGAGACTCCTTCAGGTAGTGAAGGGCAGGGTATAAATCCAGTTTTCTCCTCTTCCTCTTCTTCTCCAGGTTAGGAGGATTCATTTATTTTATTTATTTATTTATTCGGGTATTTCTACCCCGCCCTACCCCGCGAACGGGCTCAGGGCGGCTTACAGAGGCCTAAGCCATACATAAAATTCAATAAAATTCAATAAAATCGCAATCACAACCAATAACATAACATTAATAATAACAGTGTGCTATAATTCCAAGATGGTCTACAGTTGGAGCCCACAAGGAGATTCATGGAGATTTCAGGAGTGGAGCCTGGGGAGGACAGGGTTTGGGTGGGGACGGGTCCTCAGTTGGGTATCATGCAGTCCAGTCCGCCCTCCAAAGCAGCCATTTCCCCAAAGGATACTGATCTCTGTAGTGTGGAGAACGGTGGTTGTTCTAGGAGAGCTCCAGGCCCTACCTGGAGGTTGGCAAGCCTTCTTGCATCTCCCAGCCCTTGATCCCCTTTCCTCCTTCCTAGCATCGACTATCTCCTTCATTACCTTGCAGTGAGAGGAACCTGGGGCACATGAGGCTTGCCAGCGTCCAGGTCGGGCCTGGAGAGCTCCCAGAATGACCACTGATCTCCAGACCAGAGAGATCAGTTCCCCTGGAGAAAGTGCCTGTTTTGTGGGGTGAACTTGTACGGCATTGTACCGTATTGAGGTTGCTTCCCTTTCCAAACCCTGTCCGTGATCCCTTTTCCTCCTTCCTAGCATCGACTGTCTCCTTCATTAGCTTGCAGTGAGAGGGACCTGGGGCAAACGAGGCTTGCCAGCAGTGTTCCCTCTAAGCTCAGTTAGTGTGAGCTAGCTCACAGTTTTTTAGTCTCCAGGTCACACATTGTTTTCTTTGCTCAGGAAGGATGGCTCCAGAGCAAACTAATTTATGCAGCAGCCAAATTGCTTGCTCACAACTTTAATGCCAGTAGCTCACAAAGTAGAATTTCTGCTCACAAGACTCTACAGCTTAGAGGGAACATTGCTTGCCAGCCTCCAGGTCGTGCCTGGAGAGCTCCCAGAATGACCACTGATCTCCAGACCGTGGAAATCAGTTCTCCTGGAGAAAGTGCCTGCTTTGTGGGTTGAACTCTGTGGCATTGTACCGTACTGAGGTTGCTTCCCTTTCCAAACCCTGTCCTTCCCATGCTGTGACCCAAATCTCCAGGAATTCTCCAATGGGGAGTTGACAACCCTAGGCTCATCTCTTGAAAACTGGATACGTGTAACCCAGGCTGTGAATCCTGGAATACATGTGGTAGTGAATGTGCGTCCACCTGCCTATAAAAATGAGCTGAAATGCTCTCCCTTTGAGCTTGAATAAATCTGGGGATCGATAATCGTAGTTAGATGTGGGTTTATGTGCAATGAGCATAATATAAGAACCAGCTATTGCATGGAAAGATTGAAGATCAAAGAAGACGGGGACGGCAAAGGATGAGATGGTTAGACAGTGTCATCGATGCAACGAACATGAAATTGAGCCAACTTCAGAGGACGGCGGAAGACAGGAGGGCCTGGTGGGAGCTGGTCCATGGGGTCACGAAGAGTCGGACTCGACTGTGCGACTGAACAACAAAAATTGCAGGTGCAGATCTAAGCAGTAAATGAGAGAGTGTGCTGCCCATGATCTTCCTAATTTTATTGGGAGGATTGTGGGCAGTGCTCTCTCTAAGCTGTGGAGTCCACCTGCCTATAAAAATGAGCTGAAATGCTCTCCCTTTGAGCTTGAATAAATCTGGGGATCGATAATCGTAGTTAGATGTGGGATCTGAATTATGCTTATAGGTTTACGTGCAATGAGCATAATATAAGAACCAGCTATTGCAGGTGCAGATCAAAGCAGTAAATGAGAGAGTGCTGCCCATGATCTTCCTAGTTTTATTGGGAGGACCGTGGACAGTGCTCTCTCTAAGCTGTGGAGTCTCATCCTTCTTGAGCTAAGACAAAAAATGTGTGAGCCAGAGGCTAAAAAACTGTGAGCTAGCTCACACTAACTCAGCTTAGAGGGAACACTGCTCTGGAGCCATCCTTACTGAGCAGAGACAGAAATGTGTGAGCTGGAGGCTAAAAACCTGTGAGCTAGCTCACACTAACTCAGCTTAGACGGAACATTGATTGTGGGTAGTATTCTGTCCCATTTTTTATTTTGTATGAATAAAGCATATCCTTATTTGGTTCATGCAAACACATATCCTTGAAAATCTGGACAGATGTGGTGTATGTTTCTTTAAGAGAACTGTTGTGGCGTGTTCATAAGTTGGATGCAGGAACTGGGAGGGAACGCAGCTGTAGGAATCCGTTTTGACTGTTATTTGGCTGAGACCTTCATAAACAGATTTTGGAATTTGACTTGGAGGTATTATTGAACAGACATAACAAAAGGGCACACCGACGCTGGAAAACTCACATACTGTTTTTTCCTCATAAAATGGCGACTGCACATGGCGCGATCTTCCTTTAGTCACGACTGGATTGTCAAAGTCACAACAACTTAACTGGGCTTGTATGCACATTTAGGTGACTGCGTGTATGTTTGCTGTGATATGTGTGGAGGGCTTGATTGTACAGGATTCCTACGACTGAAAACAGGCTGAGAAAGTAATGGAGAGGACTAGTTTCCTCTTTACCTTATCTCTGCTGGGCTTCTCTGTTCTCCGTACCTTAAAGGTAAAGGTAACGGTTTCCCTTGCTCGAAAGCCAGACGAGTCCGACTCTAGGGTTGCGGTGCTCCTCTCCGTTTCAAAGCCGAAGAGCCAGCGCTGTCCGAAGACGTTTCCGTGGTCATGTGGCCGGCATGACTCAACACCAAGGCGCACGGAACGCTGTTACCTTCCCACCGAAGTGGTACCTATTTATCTACTTGCAATTTCTTGCTTTTGAACTGCTAGGTTGGCAGGAGCTGGAACTAGAGACGGGAGCTCACTCCGTCATGCGGCAACTCAGGTCTCGAACTGCTGAACTACTGACCTTCCACAGCCTGCAGTTCAGCATCTTAACCACTTGGGCCACTGTGGCTCACCTTACCTAGAAGGACCTATTTTAGTTTTTTCAAGAAATTTAGAGGATCAGGGACTTAGAGCTGTGAAGGATAGAGTGATGCTTATTCTTCGTGGACCTTCCACAGCCTGCAGTTCAGCATCTTAACCACTTGAGCCACCGCGTCTCACCTTTCCTAGAAATACTTACTTTAGTTTTTTCAAGAAATGTAGAGGATCAGGGACTTAGAGCTACGAAGGATAGAGTGATGCTTATTCTTCGTGGCTCACTATTGTTTACACTCTGTTTACATCCAGTGGGAATGCCAAACACCTAATATCGGTTCCTCCCTCTTAAGAACATAAGAGACGCCAATGTTGGATCAGGCCAAAGGCCCATCCAGTCCAACACTCTGTGTCACACAGTGGCCAGAAATACCAGTGCCATCAGCAGGTCCACCAGTGGGGCCAGGAGGACATTAGAAGCCCTCCGTGCTGTTGTGACAATAACCCTGTGAGGTAGGTTGGTTGAGACTGTGTGACTGACCCAAGGTCACCCGGAAAGCTTCCATGGCAGAGTGGGGATTCCTTCATGACAGGAAACAGTGGGAAGAGAAAGGTGACCGGGGCCTCCACAACCTCTCCTGTGTCCTGATCTTTGTGGGAATGCTCAAGCCCGATTTAAAGTGATGCCGCTTGGTGGGGTGATCTTATTTGTGCAGTGCGGCTGGTGCTTAGTGCACTCTGTAAAATGCTGCTAAGTGAGTAATATCTTCGTGCCAGAGATCCATAGACAATTGTGTTGGCTGCAGGAGGGCCAGAGAAGGTAACTTAGGGCCTGATATCTGACTCAGCAGACAACAGCCAGGGGCCTTTCTTTGTCCAGGGGCCTATGAGGCCTTCAGCACTCTCATAAGAGAGAGCCCAGCTTATCCATGGCTGGTTTGCACATGAGTATGATGTTTGGCCAGGCTTTGAGAGAGGAGGAAGAGACGTTTGCATCAGCCTTCATTTTCTTTTTTGTTTCCCTGTCCTGATATCAACTTTCCTTCCTCGTCTTTGGGAATGCATGGTCACAGCCACTGATCCACAGAAAACAAATCCACAGAAGTTAAACTATGAAAGATTTTATTAGTTTTGGTATGAAGAGAACACACACACGCAGAATTACAGGGTCGGAAGAGGTCATAAAGGCCATCTAGTCTAACCCTCTTGCTCAATGCAGGATCAACCTAAAGCATCCCTGACAAGTGTTTGTCCAGCTGCTGCTCAAAGACTACAAGTGAGGGGGAGCTCACCACTTAGAACAGATAAAAGGAAGTCCTTCTTCACCCAAAGAGTGATTCACACATGGAATTCACTGCCACAGGAGGTAGTGGCGGCTACAAGCACGGACGGCTTCAAGAGGGAATTAGATAAGCATAGGGAGCAGAGGTCCATCAGTGGCTATTAGCCACAAGTTGTTCAGGGTGGTGAAAACCAGTGAGGATTGTGAGGCACTCCAAAGGGATCTTTCAAGGATGGGCAAGTGGGCGTCAGCATGGCAAATGGGGTTCAATGTGGCCAAGTGCAAGGTGATGCACATTGGAGCCAAAAATCCTAAATATAAATACACATTGATGGGGACTGAACTGGCAGACATTGATCAAGAGAGAGATCTTGGAGTCGTAGTAGATAACTCACTGAAAATGTCGAGACAGTGTGTGACTGCAATAAAGAAGGCCAATGCTATGCTGGGGATTATTAGGAAGGGTATTGAAAACAGATCAGCCAATATCATAATGCCCCTATATAAATCAATGGTGAGACCTCATTTGGAATACTGTGTGCAGTTCTGGGCACCACACCTTAAAAAGGATATTATAGCTTTGGAAAAAGTGCAGAAAAGGGCAACTCAAAAGATAAAAGGGTTGGAACACTTTCCCTAATCCCGTCTCACACAGGGGCCAGCCAGTTCCTCTGGAGGGCCAACAGGGCAGGGAGGCCGAGGCTTTCTCCTGATGTTGCCTCCTGGCACTGAGCTTCAGAAGTTGACTGCCTCTGAACGTGGTGGAGGTTCCCTTTAATCACCATGGCTAGTAGTCACTCATAGGGACTCTGGGGCAAGGGATGCTCTGTCTTCTTGGTGCTTGGGGGGGGGGAGGTCAACAGTGGGAGGGCTTCTAGTGTCCTGGCCCCACTGCTGGACCTCCTGATGGCACTGGTATTTTTGGCCACTCTGTGACACAGAGTGTTGGACTGGAGGGGCCATTGGCCTGATCCAACACTGGCTTATGTTCTTATGTTCACTTCCCTAGGCAGCCGATTCAACTGCTGAACTACACACTGTAAATTTCCCCCCTAATATCCAGTCAGTATCTTTCCACCTGTAATTTAAACCCATTCTTGCGAGTCCTCCTCTCCGCTGGCAACAGGAACAGCTCCCTGCCCTCCTCCGAGTGACAGCCCTTCAAATACTTCAAGAGGGCAATCATGTCCCCCCTCAACCTCCTCTTCTCCAGACTGAACCTTCCCAAGTCCCCCAGCCTTTCCTCCTAGGGCTTCTTGGGCTCCAGGCCCCCGATCATACTCGTCGCTCTCCTCTTCACCCTCTCCATTCTGTCCACATCAATGCTCCCTCTAAGCTGTGGAGTCTTGCGAGCAAAAATTCTACTTTGTGAGCTACTGGCATTAAAGTTGTGAGTGAGCGATTTGGCTGCTGCATCAATTAGTTTGCTCTGGAGCCATCCCTTCCTGAGCTAAGACAAAAATGCATGAGCCGGAGACTAAAAAACCGCGAGCTAGCTCACACTTAACTCAGCTTAGAGGGAACACTGGTCCACTTCCTTTGGGAAGTGAGGCCTCCAGAACTGCGAACAGTACTCCAGGTGCGGCCTGACCAATGTGGTGTACAGCGGGACGATGACATCTTCTGATTAGCATGTTATGCCTTCAGTTATTCCTTTTAAAGTTCCCCCTGTGTGTTTGCCTGGGGGACAGTTCTTATCTATTTACAAACTTGCCTTGGAGTCTAAGGTATAGATTTCAAGGCTGCTTGCAACAAGGCTTTAGTCACTGATACATGTTGTGTGTTTTTCAGAAGTTACGAAAGGGGCTGTCTGAATCAGCCAGCTTCAGGTTGCATCACAGTCTAAATTCAAAACACATTCACTTTCCCCTTTGAGCAGAGCGTCCTGCCACTACTAGCTCCTGGCTTCTCAGATGTCCAGTATGTGTTCTTACGCCACATTTTTGTTTTCCCTTACCCTTTTCTATTCATATTTGCCATCAGCAGGCAAAGACTCTCAGTATTTAAAACGAGCACAGGGTAGAGAAGCTGAAACGAAGACGTGATCAGTCTGTTGTATGGAACGGGGCGAAGCCTTGGCTGGCTGGCTTTTGCTCCAAAGGGCGAGACCAACAGGCTTGAGTTCCAGATTGGTAGATTTTACTTAGGAGAAGCTGTTTAACAGTGGCAGACATCTGACAATGGAACTAGTTACTTGTAGGATGGCAGAGCTCTCCCTCACTGCAGCTTTTCAAGCAGGGAACGTAAGAACATAAGAGAAGCCAATGTTGGATCAGGCCAGTGGCCCATCTAGTCCAACACTCTGTATCACACAGTGGCCAGAAATACCAGGTGCCCTCAGGAGGTCCAGCAGTGGGGCCAGGACACTAGGAGCCCTCCCACTGTTGCCCCCCCCCCCAAGCACCAAGAATACAGAGCATCCCTTGCCCCAGACCGAGAGTTCCTATCTAATAGCCACTGATGGACCTCTGCTCCAGATGTTTATCTAATTCTCTCTTGAAGCTGCCCATGCTTGTAGCCGCTACCACCTCCTGTGGCAGTGAATTCCATGTGTTAATCACTCTTTGGGTGAAGGAGGACTTCCTTTGATCTCTTCTAACCCGACCACTGAGCAATTTCATGGAGTGCCCACAAGGAGTTCTTGTATTGTGAGAAAGGGAGAAAAGTACCTCTTTCTCTACCTGCTCTTTCCCATGCATAATCTTATAAACCTCGATCATGTCACCCCTCAGCCGTCTTTTCTCCAAGCTAAAGAGCCCTAAGCGCCTTAAGCTTTCCTCATAGGGAAAGTGTTCCAACCCTTTTATCATTTGAGTTGCCCTTTTCTGCAGTTTTTCCAATGCTATAATATCCTTTTTTGAGGTGTGGTGACCAGAACTGTACACAGTGCTCCAAATGAGGTCGCACCATTGATTTATACAGGGGATCAACCTTACCTGTCAGAGGAGCTCCCACTTTGGATTCCTGTATTAAGCAGGTAGTTGGACTAGATGGCCTACCGAACTCCCTTTTAATGCAGAGATTCTGTGAAAAGCAGTGTGTCGGGTAGATGGCACATCTAGTTGGAGAGTTTTTCTCATCCTGGAGCTAAAACTGCCACGTTTGTTTGATAACAATATTGCAGAACCAGCTTTTAATATCTGATTTTTGTAACAGCAGTTAAGCAGTTTGCTACGTCTATTCTCTTTTTGTATGTGTGTTTTAATGCGTGACATTTTTGTGCCAGCTAACAAGACCTTTCTTTTGTAGCTGGAATTATCTCACTTCTGGATGAGGAAGAGCCAGAACTCAAGGTAAGTCTGTAAGCTTTCCTGTTGACGTCAGAGAAAAATCAGCTGTAAGGGTTTGAAGGCTGAGGACGGGAACTTTAAAAGAAACTGCTTCCTGGTTAACGTTTGAACAACTGGCTGAGACAGAAGGAACGGAAACTGAGTGTGTCTTGTGTCTCTAGCCATTGATGTTGACGTGAGAGTGACGTAATTCTGAAAATCCTTGTTGTTAAACGTAAGTGGCTTGGCTGTAATGTGTGTTTCCATGGCAGCAGCAGCAGCACCTCAGAATTTTCCCTCTGCTGAGGCGGGGAAGAGATTTTTTGCGGATTTTCCTGTTCTGTTGACTACCCAAAAGACAATTAAGTGGGTTCCAGATCAAATCCAGCCTGAATTCTCCCTGGAAGCTAAAATGACTAATTAGAACAGGGGTGTCGAACTCATTTGTTATGAAGGCCAGATCTGACATAAATGAGACCTTCTTGGGCCAGGCCACGTGTGTCATAAAATGTAATGCCAATCACAGTGGAGATCTAAACTTTATAAAGGATGCAAACACAAAGAGAGCCAGTTTGGTGTCGTGGTTAAGTGTGAGGACTCTAGTCTGGGAGAACCGGGTTTGATTCCTCACTCCTCTGCTTGCACCTGCTGGATGACCTTGGGCAAGCCGTAGTTCTGATAAGAGCTGTCCTTGAAAAATAGCCGTTTCTGTCAAGAGCTCTCTCAGCCCCACCTACCTCCCAGGGTGTCTGTTGCGGGGAGGGGAAGGGAAAGGAGTTTGTAAGCCATTCTGAGACACCTTTGAGTAGTGAAGGGCAGGGTATAAATCCAATCTCCTCTTCTTCTTTAATGCCGGTAGCTCACAAAGTAGAATTTTTGCTCACAGGACTCCACAGCTTAGAAGGAGCACTGGAGGAGACGGGGCAATCCTATTTGACTGGTGGAAACTCCTTGGCAGCATAT